TCTTAGATGGAAGTATTGTGCTTGTAGTTACTTGAGGTTCTCTGATTAATCCAAAATAGTCAGTTGTTCACTAATCCAGAGATGTAGTTCAATCTCTACTAAACTAATGAGGTTATTTAGTTCATGGGTCGCAAGAGAAATACATTTCATATGTTACTTTTGTTAGCAAACTGAAAATGCCTATTATTCTGAGCACAAGACATTGTTAGATTGCTGTGTAATTATGTATTGTGTTGGTTACCTGGTATGACCTCTTTACTGGGTTACTCGACGTTAAAGCCAATGTACAAATTAAGGCTGTATAAATGAGATCACAGCAGTAAATTTTCTTGATTAACATCAGGAAATCTTTTGTTTTCTTTGAGGTGTTGGATCCAAGTTGCTGTCTCCTGTTTCATATGTTATCTGTTGGGGTTTCAGCCAATTTTTTTTTATAAACAAAGCACTCTTTGTGTTGTCTTGGCTTAATGGGAGCAGGAAAGATTGGCGAGGGGAAGATGAGGGTGCATTATTTTAGTTCTCTCTACCTGTCATTTAAGAGATTTTGCTCAGGGATTTTTTGTGATCAAGTGTGTCTTGTGCATTTCATGTTAATAGGACCTTTCAAACGAGCTTGTAAAGGTGGTTAAATTATCCCTTAAAGGAAATCAATGATTTTGTTGTTAGTTGACATGTATGTTCTATACATATTCTAACAAGGGATTTTGTACTTGAGGTGAGTCCGCGGTAATCAGCCAGGCAAAATGAGACTCCTTTTATTTCTACATTGCTCAACTCCTGTCGAAAAATCATTTTTATCTAAGCTGGTCACAATTTAGAGGTTGTTTCTTTTGTGGTATTAAAGCTAAATGTTTTGCCAATAGTTGGAATGTAATAAGTTTCTTCTGTTGGATCGACATGCAGATGTTTAGATCTGTATGAATTCAATTTGACCTTAGTAATGTGCCGATTTTAGAAGTATGTCTTTGGGTTATTGTAAGCATACTGCAACAACAATTTTGCAACATCAACTTTTTTTTTTATCAACTACATTTACAGTGACATTTTCCAGGCCAGTGTGTCCTCATTTTTTTTTTCCCTCTCTTCTATCCACAAAACAATGCTATCTCAAGCCTTAGAAATCTACAGTACTCTAAAAGGCTCTTCAGCCCTACTCTACTCAAAAGCACCACCTAACTGTTCTAGCCCATTTTCCAGCACTTGCCAGTACCTTTGTATGCTTTTGCATTGCAATTGCACATCTAAATACTTGTCAAATGTTATGAGGGTTTCTGCCTGTACCACCCTTTGGTGCAGCGAGTTCCAGATTCCCACCACCCTCTGGGTGGAAAAAGTCGTTCCTCACATCCCCTCTAAACCTTCTGCTTGTTGGCTTAAATATATCTCCCTGGTCATTGATACCTCCATGCAGTAAAGTTCCTTCCTTTTTTACCCTATCTGTTTCCCTCAGAATTTTATACATCTCAATCAAGTCCCCCGCAGTCTCCTGTACTCCTGAGGAAAACAAGCCTAGGCAACACTCTGGTAAATCTCCGCCGCACCCTATCTAGTGCAGTCGCACCCTTCCTATATTGTGGATTCCAGAACTGTGCACACTATTCCAGCTATGACCTAACCAATGTTTTATACGTTTTTATGTACCTACCTTGGTTCTGCATCACTCAATACCATTGCCAAACAAAAATGTGTTGATCGCAGTTTAGACACTTTCAATTGAGCTTTCTGCCACACTCTAGATTATATAGATCCCTCTTAACAACCGTATTGAATCCTTACATATCAGCCATTCTTGCTGTTTGTTTATTCTGTCCAAGTGTTGTTGTACATAAGAAATGTCTGGATTTTCCAATTTTTTTTTTTTGTTTTTTGTTCATCCTACAAGATCTGTGGTTCTTGAATATCATTCACAGTGGGGGAGTTCTATTATTGGACACTGACATGTACATAACTGTTTGAAGACAGCTATGAAGCATCCCCATTTGTGTTTTTTAAATAACTGAATCTGCAGTTTTAATTAGTGAAGTGTGCCCGATTTTAATCTGGTTGTGAAATGGATTTATCAGACACAAGTTGTGTGAGCATATATCCTTACATAAGGGATTTATTTTCTCTCGTACAAAAGAAACAAACTGAGCAAATGAAATGAGGAAGCGTTGAAGAAACAGCAGGTCTGGCAGTGTCTGGAGAGATAAATAATTTAAAGTTTAAAGTTCATATAACTCTTCAGAAGTTCTCTCTCCACAGTTGTGACCAGACCTGCTGAGTTTCTCCACTTTATTTTAGTTCACAGAAGCAGCATCCACAATATTTTGCTTTTAAAATAGCTGAGCACTTGGTTCATTTGAATTTGGACCATTTTTAGCATAATTCGGGTAACAGATTTGGCTGCCTTCAGGTCAGCAGTGGTGTAATACACAATCTTGTGACTGAGTACAGTATCTGGTTGGAAAAAAATGAAATGTCAAGGGTTGTTGTCTGCAAATTCTGTGCTAACTTTGATAGTGTAAGACTCGTGTATGAAAGATTGCAGTTTTAGTTGAAGCCAGATTGAAAGCCTGGCTTTGTTCTCATCTGGTTTTTCTGGCAGGTTGCCATTTGTCTGCATACAAGATGTGTGTGTTCAAGTCTACATGTTGGCATGGGTTTGAAGTGTAGTTCATACTCTGAATACTTTGGGTTTATAAACCCAATGTGAGAAGTGCAATTCTTGAAAGTTACAGAAGACACTGCGTATTAATTTGTAGAACAAACATTTCTAGATGTCTTTGCATCCACCAAAGTGTGAAAATAATTGTGAAGGCTGATCTAAATATGGAACTGTGTTTAAGGTTTATCTGAAAAGCATTATTCGCTGGGACTGAGGAATTGATTCAGTGTTTGAGTAACTTTTTTGCATGTTGTAAGTTTTGGAACAGGAGCACGTGGGCATGTATCAAGTCATAAGCAAATCACCCCTTGTCTCACTTTTACCATAAATGTAGTGTCATCTTCTCACCACTATGTTGACAAATGGTGAGTTTTTTTTAAACTATGAAGTCCAGTATCGTTAGCTTGGAGAAAATAATGTTTTATATTGGGAGAAATCACCTTGTGTACTTAATGGAAAAATCCTACAATTTGTAAGACAGGAATTGATGTTTGTCTTCTGGAACAATTTTTAGTTTGCCCTTCGGTATGTATATTCAAATGCCATGTGCTAAATTGCATTTTTGGTTGTTAATCGAGCAGTTGTTCATTTGATCCTACTCTCGTTCATATGTTGATTAATCTTGAGTTGTTAATAATATGTGAAGATAGAGAACAGTGAGCTTTTGATTGTTTTCTATGCTTTACTTTATTCCTGTGGGACAGCAGACTTCAGCATGCAAATCAGCAAGTTGGAGCAATACGTATGTTTGCAGGTAGCAGGACTGTGGTAATCTCTGGTCCGAAGGCAAAGTGAGGCGTGGAAGCATGTCTCTGCAAGCAAATTGGGGTAATCTGGAGCATTTCATTTTTTTTTTAAACCAACCGTTCAGTCAAATGGAAACCTAACAATTGCCCTCACATGCTGTCTCTGAAATTCAAAGCAGAATTACAGACTTTGAAAGAGTGACTGTAAAATTAGACATGATGGTAAGATGTTAAGTAATGCTTTTGTTTATTTTATTCCTTCAACGAATGTGTGTCATTTGGCAAGATGGGTCTTGATTGGCTGCCCCTAATTGCTCTTTAAGGTGGCAGTGACTATTTGAATTATCAGTGCATGTTGGGAGAAATTGTAGCAAGCAACAGAGGCTATTGTACTGGAGTGCAGTTGTCTAGGAAGGCTCAGATTCTACCAGGACACTATATGTGAAGGCTGACTGAGGTTAGACCATCATGAGACCATCTCACAATTGCTGCTTTGTCTCTTCTTGTGCAGTTATCACTGCAATCTTGCTGTTTCAATTATTTCAGTCAGAACAGTAAAGTATTGAGATAGCAGTCAGCTCTGAAATCATTGCAACTGCCTGAGGAACAAATCTTACATTGAAACATGTGGCCTTGTTTGGGTCTTAAACCACCACCCCACCCCCCGCCAGAGCAAGAAGACAACTTGCCAACCAGTTGCTGTTCTCTTTGTTGGTGACCAAGTTGTTGCTGGGTGCTGCCATTTTCTGTCTCTGTCTATTCACATGGAACAAATCCATTTCGCTGGCTGTGCTGAACAGGCGAGTGGTGCAGTTTGCACAGATTAAGGAGAGGGGGAAAAAAGAGGAGCCACTGGATTCCCTGCAGGAGTGAGGCTCTAGTTGGTCAGCCATTGTTTCCTCCACCCATCGCTGCATCTGCCAGAGAATCCACCGTGTTGAGTCTGCACTACCATTCGCTCCAGATGCTCCTCCACAAGGTCAGAGTGCTGACCTGTACCTCTTAATCGGTTGGGATTGTGAACACTGATGGGGGAGAGTGGGTTTTAACCTCTGCAAAATGTTACTGTTAAAAGATGACACACCCTACTTTTTGATTAGAATTGTAGACTTAAAAGTTCCTGCACGTGTATTTATGGTATTTGGGGAAGAAGGAGTATAAAACAAGCATGGAGAAGTAAAATTTCCACATTTGGCAAACTGATAGACCAGGCTGAATGGATTATGCTCCTGCAAGATAGATATGAGTGAAACGTAACAAATGTTTTTAAAACGTATTTATTTCCCTGGAAAGTTTGAAAGCTGACGTTTTCTCAGCGGCTTTCGATTATTTAGCAAAACTGGCTAGTATGTTGTGCAGAATGATGCCAGCAGCATCATTTCAATCCCTGTACTGGCCGAGACTGTTCTTAGAAGCCTTGCCTTGTTACATTACCCACACTTGATGTGGAATGGTTCCTGTGCAGCCATATAACCAATTGTCTCCCCTTAATGGAGGGAGATTGTATCTGAAGGCCAACAGACAACTAATTAGCATTGGTGATTTTGTATAACTGAGTTGTATCTAACTTGTAATTTGTATCTAACACTGCTTTCCCTTTTCAACAGCCTTGTGTTTGGTACCTTGTATCCTGCTTACTATTCGTACAAAGCCGTGAAAACCAAAAATGTAAAGGAATATGTAAGTACTTTTTTTGAAATTGGTTTGACAACTCCTTGTGCTAATATGATCACTGATTCCTCAGAGTTTCATACCTAGTGTAAACATCACTTAAATGTGCACACAAAATATTCAAGTGCTGAGGGAAGGGCACGGGGAGATGAAATCCTTCTGAAATAACGTATCTTCACACCTTATTTAAAAACACTTGACTACCAAAATGTAAAAATAAATCTAATCTTTTCAATTGTAGAGAAATTGGTTCCATGTGAAAGAGCCCAATTCATTGATTAGATCTTCTACCTACAACTGGTGTCATTATGTTACAGCTTGTGCATTTAATCTAGGCACTGCGGAGGAGAACAGTAATGTAGAGGTCTGTTTGGCAGGATTTTAAGATTTCTGCAATAAATAATCAAAAAGGTAAATGGAATGTTGGTTGTAATATCTGAAGGGATAGAATATGAAATGGTGTACATTACGCTTTAGTGTTATGAATTGTTTTGAGCTGTTATGACACAGAGACAGCCAAATGAAATCAGCCTCCCTGACCCTGGATTTGCAGCACAGTAAAATTAAGATACTCAGTAACTCTCGAGATTGACCCCTGTGGTTTCTAACCAGGCTTTTTAAATAATCAGTATCCATACTTTGTGAATAACTGATAACAGATGCCAGGTTTCTAGCATTTTGATGGTACCATGCCTTTAAGGGAGATTTGTTCTGTGCAGTTTCTCTTGTAGAGAGGTGTTGCCGGAATGACTGCTTCTGAAACAGTGATAAACAGCTTTGAGCTCCTTGAGTTTTTTTTTTTAGACAAAAGCGTGAGGCTGTCTCAGACCCAGGATTTTAATTTTGCTTTCATTTGGGATTTGGAGTGAGCTGTTGAAGCTGATAGATACAGCTGTCTCTCTGCTGCAGCAAAAAGCTTGAGTTCACTGTCTGTTTCTTTCAAAGTTCCTTTCTCCTGGACTGGAAGGGAAGTAGAACAGAGGGAAAACATTTTCTGATGAAGGGTCTAGTCCCGAAACGTCAGCCTTTCTGCTCCTATGATGCTGCTTAGCCTGCTGTGTTCATCCAGCTCTGCACCTTGCTGTCTCTAGAACAGAGGGAAATCAGTTTTGCTGAATTTGCCTTTGCCAAGGGTATGTTTATGGAATGCTGCTATATTGGAACAGTTGATCATTAGAAGCTAAATAATATAACTTTACTAAGTATTTCAGTAGAGCTAAAAATATCCCAATTTTTCTACTTTTGTTTGTATTTTAACTTTGTAAGAATGAAGTGGGTTTTCCTTGAAGCAGAGTGCTGGACCAATTGAATCATGTCTGGAACACCGTGTCCTATACTTGCCTTTAAAATAAAATGCTAGGGCCTGGTTGATCTCTTTGATATATTTTGAGGGGCTTTGATCTGGTCCGTAAGTGTAAACAAAAGATTTAATGATTTATTAATAATATAGTAGCTTTATCAGAGCATAGTTAAACCACAAAGTCGTCTAGTTAATGTTTATGATTGAAACCAAGCTTTTGTTGATTCAAGCCCTTCCAATCTGTCACAAGGACAGAGCGACAAGCAGATGCAGTTAAGGGATAAATCAGATAGGGGGGATAAATAAATGAGAAGCAACTGGCCAGCTCACTTAAGCAGACTCCATGATCCGTAATCCCACTGGCACAGTTTTATATCTTGCTTAGTGCATGCATCGGTGTTAAGAACTATTTTCCAGTAGGCTGCAAAGAATATTCATTTCATTCTTTTAACTGCGATTCTGTTAGCTGAACTTCTAATAAGTTGATAATGAGAGGACAACCACACTTGCATCCTGTAACTTTCACAAGCGCAATCCCGCTGACTCAAACACAGATCAAAACCTAATTCAAATGTTGGTGTCTCTTTTTTCATTCTCTTTGCTAGACTGGTACTATTAACTTTTCAATCTTTGCCATCTGTTTGAGCATAATCCATACGCAGAGCTAAAATGTCTGTGTAGCATTCTTTCAACAGGAATTGACCTGCAATTAACTTCCAGGCCTGGTTCACATTTTTTTTGAACATTCACTGCTGCTCATATCCACAGGTCACCTGTAGCTCTCTGTACACAGCTCCAAATCAAAAATGTTTTAAAAAAGTTGTAAAATAATGAAAAATCAACATTGGGTTTTAACAGATCATAGCTGAAATACAGCTGTCTCTGCTGCAGCAAAAAGCTCATTCTGTGTTGCTAGATTGTTTCTTTCAAAGTTCGTTTCTCCTGGACTGGAAGGGAGGTAGCACGAGAGGGAAATCTGTTTTGCTGAATTTGCCTTTGCCAAGGGTATGTTTACGGGATACTGCTATATTGGAACAGTTGATCATTAGAAGTTAATCCTGGGAAGGACGTATTGTCCTTGGAATCACTTGACTGACACTATGCTAAAGGGATTGATTTTAAAAGGAAAGATGTATGCTACATGCACTTGCGCAACAGATTTTGGGGTTCTCTGATTTGAGGTGCATAAGGATTCCCATGTAATGTTTTGAAACTGGGCTATCTCTTGAAATTTCACAACTGAGAATGTCAAAGTACAAGAAGTAAAAGTGATTGGTGGAGCAGGCTGAATAGTGTTTTGCTGCCATGTTCCTATTGTTTCTAATCCTGCATGTTAATCATTGTCTCTGTTTATTTTGCATATCTGCTTAGATTGCTGTAGGCCATTTCACAATTGACATCACTTATTTCATAAATTGTCAAGTCTTGAACTGTTTTTTTTAAATCAATTTTAAGTGTCTCACAAGCTACATTCTATTTAGGTATGAGATAACAAGGTGTAGAGCTGGATGAACACAGCAGGCCAAGCAGCA